CATGCGGTGGTCACCTAAGCACAGGCAACATTAACAATTGTGTTTAAAATTATTTTTCTTTCTCTTCCTTTTCAGTACTAAAATAGAAAACTAGAAAAAAAGATGACTATCTAGTTCTATTTGTTACTGGCTCTCTCAGTATGCAGAATGAGAAAAGTAATTTATGAAGCTAAAAAGAAAAACAAAACCAATAAATTATAAATATCAACATTTTAGGTATATGATAGCACGGATTTATCAGCTCCAAATTTGGACTGATAAGTTCAATACAGCTCCCAAATTACAGTCCTTTACAGTAATGCCCTGAATTTTCCTATTTGTCTGTACAGCTATTTCGAAAAGAACAGTAGTTAAGTGGCAGCTTGATTATATATATTCATTTTTCAGAATATTTGAGAAATTTGGAATGCTTATGTTTATAAAATCACTATCCCTGCTTGCAAGCAAAAATGATCCCACTGCCCTCTTCTGCATGACCACAGGAGCAGAAATGCAGGTATTACGTGCAAAAGAACCTTGTCCTTCTGAAAGTAAACTGAGCAATCAGGCTGCACAACCTTTTGCAATAATGTTGTCTTCTGCTTAAACACTGAGACTATCAAAATATTAGGGAGGGGACCTCAGCAATGGTGGGAGGGCTTTCATGAGATTACAAGATTATTATTATTATTAACTTTTAACTGCTTTATTCTGCAGTTCCAAAATATTAATAATCAAGTCCACTCCACACTAAAAAGGGGAGGAAAAAATAAAACATTCAGGGGACTGGTGAAATACTCTACATCAAAAACATCTTAGTGTTTTTAAGAATTTCCTCTAATTGCCCTTTATCTGATTCTTTCTAATTCTTTGTCATCATCACACCTAAAGCTTACAAATCCACTTCTCTAGAGCTCTGTACTCATTACTGATATGTTTGGGCATATATATTTCAATAAAAAGAAGCCAGACAAATATGCCATGTTCAAATATTCATATTTATATATATATTTGTTTAAATACTTTAGTAGTTGAAACTCTTCATTCGGAATCCTTCAGAAATTTGACCTACAACTAATGTTGACTTTACTGAGACCTTATATTCAGTGGCATAGAGAAATAATAATAATAAAAAAAAAAACAGTTCAAATATCTGCTTTGCTATAGTAGTAAGTAATGAAGGATATATTAACTTCAGAAAATATACTGAAATATTTGAGGAATTGCCCATTAAAACAGACTTCTTCCTCTAAATATTTATGAATCATTTCCTAACTGAAAGAAAGGTGTTCTGGAATACTGATCTCTAGTGTTACACCTACAGATCTATAGCATGCACAAATAAATAATAAATATTGATATGTGTGCATAGGTCTGCATGCATTTTTAGTGGGTGTACAATATCCAAAATAATACATCAGCTATTTGAGCAGCTCACACTCCACTCAAAGCATTGTGAAATGCTGTGTAATTTTTACAGTGTTTCAGCACAGGCTTTTTTACCAAAGCAGTGCTTTCACTTTCCATACCAGTGTACAAATATATTTATCCTATCAAAGATTTTGTGATGCAAACACGATTATTACTGTACCTGATTTGATCATGTATTCTAGGAGAGATCAAATAATAATGTTTTTTTCTTCTTCTTCTTTTTCTAGTGCCTTTAAAAAAATTCCACTATCAAAGAATGTTAATTTCCAAGGTTTGATCTAGAGATTCCCATGTAAGTATACAATTATTAGGAAAAAAGAGGCACAACAGTGAATATTTTAAAGCAATGTAATCAATATTTTTGCTTTGTGCAGATTTCCCTGCAACAATGAACAAAAAGATCTACTTCAGATTTAGAAACTCAGCTTTAAAGGGAAAGCTAGACAACAAAAAGCAAGAAAGTACTCACCTCCTCACGTAATTTTATCAACTGCAACATGAACGCACAAAAAAAGATAAAAAGGAAAGAAATGGCAGGAAAGAAAGATCAGTTGTGTGACAGGATACAGAATTAACATTGACAATTTATCTGTTTACATGTTTAGCATTTAAAAATCACAGACAAACACATTAAAAGAACCTAAACATAGACTACATGCAGAGTTTTTTGAACGAATAAAGATCACTTTCTCACACTGTCACATTAAACAAAGAGAATAGTGTGAAATTCTCTTTTAAACTACATCTAAGACACCATCATGAAATAAAGGGGAATGACTTCATAGAAGTCTATATTATAAAGAAAAAAACAAGTTTACTATTCCTCTCTTCGAAGATTGTACAGCTGAAGTGGTTTTGTATATACAAGTTTTCAGAATGTTTTCTGTATATTTTAGCTGTGACAACTGATTTCTCATTTTACTAGCAGATCTAACTTATTAATAGATGACTGCATCTTTATAGCTTGTCACCAGTACACCAATTTTTATATACCTTAGTTGCAACTGTAAGTATATTATCGATTTTTATGATTGAACTTGAAGTAGCAATCTTTTTTTTTTCCCCAGTTAAAATGAAGCAGCTTAGTTAAATGACTCAGAATTTGGATTTATGGCATAGCATATTTGAGAAAAGACAAAGGAATAGAGACCAACATGAAACACGACTGCCCTCAGAGGAGGCTCATTCCAGGCTCTTAATCCTAGACCGTGGTATTTTGTGTGTACGTGTAATTTTATTTAAACATATGCTTGTAAATCTAGCACAATTAATAGCACTGTTCTGGCACCTTTGCTATAAAATGCAACAAAACCCAGTGTGAGTGTAGAGCTATGCTGCAGCATGCCCTCCGTTTAGAGGCGCAGATCAATTATTAGGACTGGAACAAAAACTGCAATTAAGAAAAGGTCTGCATAGGAGTGCCTCTTTACAAAGAAAATTACAGGTCTCTCACCAATCGCAGCTGAATTCAACATTACAACGGCCCCATCATCATCTCAGTTTACACTGATGCCTCAGTTTTCTAACACTCATTCCCACCATGTGCCCGAGCTGAGACTGTTCCCTGGCCAGATCCCTCCAGCGAGCAGGAAACAAAAGAGCTTCCAGTACTCCAATACTCCCCCTTCTTCCAGGCGGCTGGGCAGAACGGGCCCATGCGCCTCATCTCGTTACCAAAACATACAGCGGGAAGCGAACTGTGTGGAACTGGGGGGGCCGCGACCGCAGGAACCCACGCTGAAACTGCTCTTCAGCACCCAGCGTAAAAGCCAGAACTGCTGGAAACTCTCCCCCAAACCAGCTCGCAAATCCAAGCGGTTGGCCCACCACAAACTAGGCTCTTTTTCCAGATCCCCTTTCACCATTTTCCCCCTCCTAAAAAGGCAAACATTAGGTCTCTTTAGAAAGAGGCGACCTGGGAGTTTATCACAGAGCTATCTTTTCTCTCCGAGGCCACCATTCTTCACTTGATGATCATGCTTAAAGGGCCAAAGTTTAAAACTACTCTGCTGCAGGAGAGCCCATTTGGGCCTGCCACCCTGCTCCCATCAATGGGAGTTTTAAAACGCTGCACATTTGTTTTTTCAATAGGTCCCAAACAAAAATGTTCTATCTTGTTTGTGCTGCATGGCTGAATTTAAGCTCTGCATAGGATTTGCAGCAAAGCTAAGTAATGGGAAAAGGTCTTTTTTTTTTTTTTTTTTTTTTTTACGTTGGCTGAAAGATATTCATTCAAATTAACAAAAGATGCATTTTTCTCCCATTTAACAATACTCTTGATGGAAAGGCGTTAGCTTTACTTTTCTAATTTTAAGTATTTTCCAGTATTTATTCTCGACGCTCAACTGTAAACAGAATTAAGCTGTGTGCCGCCACCATTTTAGGATATGATAATCAGCATATTTTTGAAACAAAGATTTTTTTTTTTTTCAATCCGGAATTCGATACAAGAGGTAATCTGTTCCTTTGTAGGCTAAAAAAAAAAAGGGGGGGGAGAGAAAAAGAGAAAATCTGGTTTACGCTGGTTTGAACCAGTGGAATCTCTGGTGGCTAAGCCTTCTGCTGTGACTAAAATCAAAACTGTGCCGCAGCGAGCGAGCGTGTGCGCGCGCGTGTGTGTGTCTATGTGTGCGTCTGTGAGGCGGGTCACGTGACACACAAAACTACCAATTTTTTTTTTTTTTTTTTTTTTTTTAGAAAAAAAGCTGATAACGCTACTGCCGTCTCTGTCCGCATACAGATAACGAATAAATGCTGAACTCCATTAAACGCCCTTTACACATTATCGTGGGTCGAACACACAATTTTCTGAACTTATGATGACAGTCTATTTATTTTGCTATAAACCCTCGGCATGTAACGAACAGATTTGTGTCTGGTAATGATCTGCTCTGCCAGGGCTATATGAAATGATACCGACCTTCTTTAGATCTTGGGGAATTAAATTGACCAACTTCACCCCCTGGTCTGGAGCTGAAGTTTGACACACTTTATGCACAGCAAGCCCAAATCTAATATTATCAAGAACTTTGTAGTCAGAAATTAAGAAGCCACAAAATATTTGGTCACCACAAAATCACATATATAGTGTGTGTGCAGACACACAATTTAAGCTTCTAGTGTGAATTTAGTTAAGCAGATTAATGAACGTAGTTGAAAAGAGAAAGGAACAGTATTGAGTACAGCATTAGCCACTTTTCTGAAGCACATACCTGGGACTATTTTGGTACAGAAGGAGGATTTCTGGTTTAACCCTGCACACACTTTCTAAAAGACTACAGTTAGTTAGATAGGGCAACTCTACCCTAAGAAATCACCTAAACATCACGATAACTACTCATAGAAGCATAGTGGGGAGAGAAAATGAACAGGAAATATATTCATACTGGCAAGTATATCAAGTTTCTATCTTCTCATTCCAGAAAAGAAGTTAAAAATGTTTACTACGGTCACAGAGACTATACCTAAAACACCTAAGCTTGTATAATTCGTATCTTTGTTTTGCTTGGTTAACTCCCAAGTCTAACTAGATATTTAGCATTTTTATCGATAGATTTTACAAATCATTCTGATTTGCTACAGAAGCAATTCTTAGCTGGCGAATGATTTCTTCATCACAAGAGGAAACTCTCTTCTCATTTCCCCTCCAAGTTGGCAACTGAATCAGAACAGAAATATCTTTAACTAATTTAACCTAGCCCAAGCTGAGCAAGAAACAGAAGTTCTGTAAGAGCTGGGTAGGGGTCAATTCATCTATATATTTATATACAGATCACCATCAAACAAAACTAAAGCAAGCATTGGAAATATCTTCCAACGTTTGATGTGGCTATAAGTAAGATTTGCTCACACTTGCTTTGTCCAGTTCAAGTTTTCTGTTGATATAAAAAGTGTAGGAGTGAAAGCATAGTAGACAGTAGGTTACTAAATTAAACAGAGAGATATAACATGATCTTTGTTTAAGTACCCAAACCTTACACATAATCCAGACAACTGCACCCACTGGTAAGTTCAACTTCAGTCGGAACTCTGTGAAGTGACTGCTTGCACCCATAAGCATAGGTGTAGAAGACAAATTCAAATGTAAATCATGATGTTTCATATGAAAAAGATGGAGAGGTTTACTACTGGAACAACATACTACACAGCAGGCCTTCATATAGTTTAAAGAAATTATAGTAATGTAACATTCATACATTCAGAATAAGGTATGAGTGTAAAACACCAATATGGGTTAAACAAAGGATTTTGATTACCTAAAAGACATAAAACTTCTTTCCCACCCAAAATTTTCCTTCATTTAAAAAGCAGTCATTTAGAAAAAGAAATCATGTTAACAAACAACAAAGTATTGTGTGATTCCTTGAGAAAAAAACACCTTTCTTAATCAACTGTAAGAGTTCATAACTCACAAAAGGCGCATATGTGAACCAGTTATTTAGACATTCTTTAAAAAAATGAAAATAAAATTTTATCCCATCCTTACGAATAATATATTCTATTGCTTATCACAATTGGCCCTTTATGCCAGAAATTGCACACATTTTTCTTGAAACATAAAACCAGTAGCATCTTAAAAGAAGTAAAACAAGAATCTTAACACTTTTAGAGGACTGAGTTTATGTTCATGATATGCAAAATGTGAAAGTCTTGTCCTTAAAACTATCCTTGCCATAAATAAATTATTTGGGGATACAGAAAGTCTTCCTCTTTTCAAATTTTGCAAAACTCCTTCTTATAATATATAAGATGATCATTATCTTTTATATCTACTTCTTTGCACGGACTTTGGAGCTGCTATATGCACTACAGAGTCTTACATTTACAGATAAATTGTACATTGCATATAATTTCATTAATATATGCATTAAAGTCCATCACAGGATTTAAAACTTAATTGTACAGCACATTTAAAATGCTATATAAGATTAGGACTTAAGGAGTCTTTGTTTTAAAATTAATTGTACTGGGATAAGTCTTGGAGTCTTACTTTTTTCTATCCGTAGTGAAATTTACACCAAAGATAGAAGATACTAAAAATTTCAGAATGCAGCTTGATTCTGTTCCCATATTTAATACTGCATTTCTCAAGCTTCAGTTATGCTACCAAAGTATTTTAAATTCTATCTCTCCAGCAGAGAAAGTCTCATATTTTAGCAAACTTTCAACATACTTCTAAACCATAGCTTTGATTATTGCTAAGATAAAGAAAACTATTTATTTTCAAGACAACAGACCAAGCAAAAATAAAAGACCACCAGAAACTGTTTTCAGAACTTGTAAAACAGGCTTTATTACCAAAAGAAATATTACACGGGTCAGAGTCCCCTGAAAATAATGTCCTCTCTATAACTTTCAGGAGTCTAGCAGGATGCTCACTGTAATGTTCAGAACAACAATATGGATGTAAGTTTTGAAAAAGCTTCAGGATTATGAGGCTTTCCTTCATTAAAAGGAGTGGACAGCACTGTACATTCTAGCACAACACGTGTTATGAAAGCTTACTTTTATTAGTACAACTTGTGTTTTTACCACAAGAGGAGAAAATCTGTTTAGGGAAGGAATCACACAAGGAAACCGAGTGGGGTACTGCCTAATTCTAAGAGTGCACTTTCATTTGTTTTGCCTGCCAGTGTTGATTTAATTATACTGCATTATTATCAAAGCTGCATTATGTACTTTTTTATTCCTTTTACATGTGTTTGAGGTGAGGACCTTGGCTTTGTCGGCAAACAGCGCGTTTCAAGTTATTTTTTAAGTACTAAATAATAAAGAAAAGAGAAGAAAAGATTTTTTTTAAGATAGCAGACAGTGATCACAAGTTAAAGGGTTAAATGTAAGATCTCCAAGAAACATTTTGAAGTTGATTAAGACCCCAGCTTTGCATTAAACAGTATCACTTCCACATGAGTTGTTGCTAATGCTGTTAAGGAGCAGCTTGAGAAGCCCAGTGTGCCAGTGACCTCCTTCACCCTCCAGCCACCCACTAGGGCTTCTTGATTAGCATCCTACCTGGTTCTCTGAGGAATTCCCGTCATCCCCTAGGAGCTCATTCCGCACCTCATCACTGTAGGCGATCCGTGACCTTTTCTGTAAAACAAAAAGAAGAAAGGGTTAGGAAGTAAAGCTCCGAAGCCATTGGTATCAAGGATGATCATCTTAAACCTCGGGAGCCCCCTAATGGATACCTACTTGATAAAAAAAAAAAAAAAAAAAATTAAAAAAAAATCTGCAAGCAAAAGTTATTAGAAAGTTCTTCAAGTGACATACATCGATAAATCATCATGGCAAAACCTCAGCATGTTTGCTGTGATTTCTGAGAGAGTCACATCCTCAACATTTTACTGATGAAAGCGGCCTAAATAAAGCTCGAGATAACATGATCTCAGGACTAATAAGAAGGCAACCTTAATAGGCTAAATACACTAACACCAGAAGCACTGATGTGGGGGACAAAAATGCATTCATCTGAGGAATACTTGCTGGGCTAAGAACTCAGACCAACACTACAGCAATGCCAATAAATAGGAAAGGAAGATTGAGCTTCTCCTACACCAAAAAGATAACTCTGAACAGCACGTTTGACAAAAGTTAAAACTACATGTGCATAACATAAACAAATCTTTCTTTTGCTGTTAATGCTATAGAGGCCTTCACGAAAAGGACCAGAAATCCAAGTGGAAAAGAAAGGGGACAGAACAACAGTATAGTACAACATCAGTTTACAGCATTCTGTGGAAACACCACAAACTGAGACAGACAATCATCCATTGGATTGTTACGAGACAGTCAATATTCATAGTTTATGAGTCCCGGACTTTCTGAGAGCTGTTGATTCTAAATTAGATCAAGTACTGAATAGCTGAAAGGAAGCCACTGAAAACTGCCCAAGCAGCGCGCTGGTCAACAGGACAACAGGGAAGTTCATAAACAGACCATAGCTCAGCTTGCAGTTTCTGTGTTGGCCAAATAACATTTTTATAGCCAGATAACTCTACTTACGTGCACCATTAAAAGAGAAGAAGGACATTTAATATTTTTGTTTGCTTTGTTTTTTGAGGATGATCCTAAGTCTTCATAACAGGAAGAAACTCAAGCAAGCACCAGGACTAAGGCTTTTCTTTATTGATTGGAATTGCTCTTACGGCTCTGTGGAAACAACCTTCTCTGTATGGATAATCATGCCAAAAAACATGCTTATGTCTATGGCACAGAACACAACTCATTGGAAATTACACTGAGCACATGGAAAATTATTACTGTTGTGATGAGCAGGTTGAAAGCAGATCACTATTTCCACTAGAAAACTAGCAGTTGAGTCAGCCTGGTAGTGCTCATCTCAGAGCAACACAATTCAGCCTTTTATCTTGTGTAGTTCAAGTATGCCCTTTATTACCATCCTCACTGTTCCAGTGCTTACCACCAACACGCGATTTAGTTGCTAGTGCTCAGCACTAGATTATATACTAAAGCTACAGATGTACAGAGCAAGGACAAAGCATACCAGGGACTTGCTACAAGAGCTGAATTGTGCCAAATCTTTTGGAGATCTCAGCTGTCACAGTTTCATACTAACCAAGCAAAAGTAGTCTACAGCATTAAAGGAAATGAGAACCTTTAAACAGGCTGTGGTATCAGAGCTGCTTGCTTAAATTATTCATTTCATCACTATGGGGGACTAAAACACTCCACAGTATGCAAGAATATCATATGGAGATAGGTTTTGTTTTTCTCTTTTTTCACCAAAAAGCCAACAAATTGGCAGAGATTGTTCAATTATATTATTTTCCTATTTTTATTTGATAAACATCAAGCAAAGGAAGAAATTACAAATACATGCCAATAAATATCTAATCTTTACTTTTTTTTCAATTAAGATCCAATCTCCCCTTTGAGGTCCAACAGTTCAACTGTACAGTGTCTCTCCATTTCACAACACGACTCGGTCTCATTGATTTTGGTAATGTTAAACATATTTGTCATTATTAGACTGAAATGGGCAACACAATGCTTTATGAGCTTGTTCTCCAGTGAACAAGTTGTCTAATTATATGTACAGACTGAGAAGGTCCTTGCCTACACATCATTTATTTGAAATGATTTAACTGGCTGATATTTTCATTCATAAGAGACTGCACACAAGAAAAAGAGTAAGAGTATCCTTTATGGGAAGAAAAAATCTCTAGCAGCAATACCATTTTTAAAGGCTTTTTAAAATCCTTTATATCATCATCACTGAACTTAATAAGTATCATTGCTCTATTATTGCAATAATCTGTCACGATTTGAAAATCAGCAATTATATTAAAAGAAATAACCCCTTGACTACAATTAGATGTAACTCTTTGCAAGAATCAATAAATAATTTGATACTACTTTTGATCACAGTTTCACCACCAAATGAATCAATAATATAAAAGAAAAGGCCTTTGAACTAAAATGTTCATTTGTTCTTTCAGGATTTGTCCAAAATATCAATATATTGGTACCTTCAGTTGCGATTCTTTTTTTTTTTTTTTTTTTATTAAAGCAACATTGCTAATACTTTCAAATGCAGCTATCAAAATTAGTGATAACAGAATAGTTCATCTGAACTCAAAATTAAGTTTTTTTAGATTTTTTTTTAGTTCATAACTATCAGCTGTTTATAAATATGTACTTTAGCCAAGTGCAAGAATGATAGTTTGAGCTGGAAATGTCACACACACTGCTACAGTTTGAAGGAACCCAATTCATAATGCATTTTATAAATAGTTAATGACTTCTATACATAAGCTAACCAGGCAAATCAAGAAATTGTCAACATTTTTAGTCTTAGTTGTCAGTTACCACTGTCTACTGGTACTTTATATGTATGCTTCTAGAAAAGACAGAAGCTTTACAGAGTTTGTAATGCAATGCATTTTCTGGGCAGCTCAGTATAGGTTTGAGAGTTGCTCTATACATTTTTTTGTACGTAAAGGTCTGACATATATGGAACTATATCTTGTATTTTAGTTTCTTGCAAAGGTATGTACACAAAAAGTCCTAAGCACACTGGTGTTTTTAACTCAGTAAACCTGTTTGCATTCAAAAGCAGTACACACACGAGCACAGAAATGCACAAAATGGTTAAGCTACTTTCCCCAACAACTTCAAGACAGAGAAAGTTTCAGGAGCTGTTTAAATGTACTACAATATCTAGGTCTTCCAACAAGGAAGAATTTCTGATTCCAGGCAGATCTCACTTGGTTTATGAACAGGATTTTTGCATACTGATTGGGTGATTTTCTTAAAGCCCTGTTCAAACAGATACACTTGCTCAGTTCTGTCTGGCAATTTGGCTTTAAACAATCTGTCTACTTGACCCAAGCCTTAACATTTCCCAATAGAACTGAGTATGTTCGTGGGCAAGCACAGCTAAATTAGAATTGAAATGAATTAACTCAGCTTAAACTAATTAAAAACTGTGATCTGCAATCCCACCCCCCTGTATGATTCTACATGTGAAGCAGGGCACATGTAACCAGACTGTAAGAATTCTGCTATACCACTAATCTGAGCATAACAATGAAGTTCGCCTATTACTAAAGCATATGAGAAGTTAATTTCCATGGCCTACACATGGCAAAGCAATTGCTTAAATTGCCTCACCTGGGAATTTAATACAATGTTATCATCAGACCAGCCACACTGTAAATAGATTTATAATGCTTTCCATGTGCTGGGCTAGGTTGCATATGAATTAAGTAATGATCTGGTATTACAATACAATCAGCTAGTTCCCACACCTGGCAGACAGGATATTTTGCTAAATTACTACCTATACAGCTACATCACAACATAAAAACAGAAAAGGCAATGGGAAGAGAAACAATCTGCATGGTATATGACTGATTTTTACATGGTAACCAAATAAGATGCAGATAGAAAGAGGTATCCCAAATAATCTGACTCCAACATCTGTATAACAGAACACATATTTATTCACTTCTATTCAATTTTGGCCTAATTTTCCGCATTCTATACTTTAATTACTCATTCACATTCTGCAGTGCTCCCATTAGCAAAGGCCAGAACTAGCCAATGCCCCCTCATTCCAGCGTACTTGCAGCAATCACCTAAATAATTGAAATAAAGTATCACATATTTTTATACCTGAACCAAAGAATCGCTTTCCTCCTAAATGCTAAGCAATCCCATGAACAGATAACCAAACTTGCATAGTTTCAGAGCAACGGTGCAGTTAACCCTTTCATCTCAATCTCGCCGTTTTCAGCCTCAGTGTTTTAAGGATGAATTCAACAGATTTTTCTTTTTAAAAACAAATATAAACAAAGGAAAAGCTTATATATGCACAAATAATTGTTTTCATACAAAATCCATAAGTATATCCTAGTGCATATAAATAGTTGAAAAAAAATTCAGGCATCCGTTTCAGATTTTGGCTCTGTTCTAAATAAATAAATGTAAATATATAAATAAATATCTGAGATTAGCATGCGTAGAAGTAATTTGTAGGAGAAAATTCTATTTTATTTCCTTTTCTTTACAAAGTAGCAGTTTTACCATTGAGCACTGGAGTGAAAGGTGGAAAAAAGTGGCTTGTTCTTCGGATTGCTTAATACTGCAGAGTCTGGACTTAATCATCTTCTTCTGAACTTCTTAATCATCTTTAAAGTTTTTATTTAAACAGCAGCACAACAACACTTTGTCAAAAAATAAAATCATAGAAATTGTTTTGGAAATTGTGTTCCAACTGCAATTTTCAAAACTTTTACATTTCACTGTAACTGTGGTCTGCAAACAACAGATTAAGACCCTTCAGACTGCAATAAGAAGAAAGAAACTGATTGCATAGCACTAATACATGGCACAATGCAATGCTGGACTTTCAAGGATTTCCATGCAAAAATTAAGGATAACAGATGACACAGGTTTGGCCAAAGAAAATAAACTATTCTGCAAACCCTATGAAACAGTCCAAAAGACTCCATCCAACTGTACACATTCCTGGTAAATTCCAACATCTAGGCCATTCCCGGGCTTGCCTTCTCTCTTCTCATGTGCGCAAAAGAGACTGCAAGCAACTGTGAAAGAAAAAGCATACT